CCATATTACCTTTCATTAGTTTTGACTAACATATTGATTATGCTTCTCGCTTATTGCTTCTATGTTAATTTTGAATTATTAAAGACAGAATAACAGATGCATGTAAATCAAAAGATATTGTCTGTCAACTAAGACAGGTCAAGCAGATCAAACATTTTTTTTAAACTGGTGTTTAATTCATTTCTATTTGTCTACGTTTCTTTGTTTCTTAACATATCAAATGCGTTTAAAATAAAATTTCTTTTTCATATTTTTATTAGTTATTGACCAAGTCTGTATCTATTTCAACGGAGGCGATTAGTTTATCCAAAGTAATTTATAATGTCCAATTGTAACCGTTGTTAATTTTACATAAAATAAAAAATCAAAATCAAAATCTCAACTTCTGAGATCTTCCTCATTTTTCTTTTTGGGTATTGAATAAAATGGGTTATTCGCTACCAACATAAACTAATTAGAACCCTTGCAGAATATTTAATTCTAAAAAGAAAACGTATTATATACTTACCTGACGAAGAGAAATGCACGTATCCAGCAAAGGGTAAAAGATCACTTTGCTCTACATCTCCAGTACACAGACATTTCTTAATACCAGAATTGTAAAAGAACGAGGAAGTTTCTGCCTGCTTTCTGCACATAGCACAACAATTCGATAAACTTGGAACCTTTGTTATTTCCGATAGAATATTTTTAGTTGTAATTAGATTGTCACAGTTATACACGTGCACATAATCAGATGATTGTTGGAAAGAATTGATAAAGTCGGGAACTGTGAGGATTATGCATATTACAAAAAGCCAAGAGCACATTATTGTCTTGATATTATTCCTTGTAGAGAACTGCTTAGCTATTCGAAACATAACAGTATAATAATTGCTTGCGTACGCAGCTCTGTTTAGTCTACTTAAATGGGATTCGACGAATTTATAAATGCAGTTCTTAACAATAACAGAAAATGAAATAATTAACAATTTAAAAATGCATAAGAGTAAGATTTACTTCAAAACTAACCACTGTATTCTTTATTCACACACAGCAATAAAAGATAAGTCACTCCAAAAAGCGAAAGACACGTAGTACCAGGGAATAATGTGACGCACTCTATAATCATTGGGAGGCAAATCAAGTGAATATCACAAGACGAAAGACCATCTTTAAGCAATCACTTAATGGAAGCTTAATGGTGATTTAATGGTGGCTTAAGGTAGGATTCTTCTCACATTTATAATATTTAAAAATTCATGAAATTTTCACAGAATCAAGAAGACTATATCAGAAAATGATAGTATGAGTGAAATTAAAATTGACTTTTTTATATTAGCGGCAAGGTTAGGTCAAGGTCATTATCTTTTTCTTTGACATTTAGAATAAAAATTGCTGTTACAAATCATGTGATGCCTACTTCTATTTCAAAAGTTTAAAGATTGTTCTTTTTGCATTAAATCATATTAATGTATCGGGTCTATAGCATGATATTACCAAATTTACATAAATGAGTTAACTTAACTGGATATTGGCTAATCCGAATTTTCTCTGTTTTTCTTAATTTTTTAGGATATATTAGTTATTTTCATATGCTTCCTATATTTAACTTTTTCTTATTTTTACATATAATAAAGTAGTCTTACAAATGTACAAAATGATATAAAAACAAAAAGTTTTGATCGTTTACTAAGAGAGAAAAAATACTTTTTATGGATTTTTGGCTCAAATCTGCACTTTGGTAGGAAGCGTTCAAAAGGTAACAAAGTTCTGGTATGTTTGAAAAATCATATTTATTTGATATATTTTGAAAGTTTAGTCCCTCATTATTAATTTAACTTACATTTGAAAATTTCTCCAAGTCTTCGATTGTGTAAAAATTATAATTAAATTCATTCTTTTATTATAATTTTGAGAGGCAGAAAAGAAGATATTTTCATACGCTACCATTCCGCCAAAAATATAGTCCCGACTACTTTTCAAACGCAGTTTACCATTTTAAAGTTGTACAATTGTGATGAGGAAAGAAAAATATGATTTTTTAAAATTCCTTACACCTCAATACATAAGACATATAGGCAAATATACTTTGAATATTTCATCTAGTCAGAAACCAGAGAAGAATCCTACCTTAAAGAAGTTATTTCCTTTGAGCAACCATTAAACCATCATTAAGCTGCAATTTATAGGTGCTTAATGTACAAACTTCATTAATTGTAAGCTACCATTAAGCCACTATTAAGCTGAGCCTAATGGTGACTTAATGGTCAAACCTTATTAAACTTTTACGCTTATATAAAGAATCTTTGACTTTTAGTTATTTTAACATCATTTACGCAAAATATATCCCAACTCATAATTTTGTCTCGATCGTAATTTCTACGAGTTTTTTTTTTTTGTCAACGTGCATAAACTTGATCACCGTAGAGAACAAAGTTTGCTAATAGCCACAGGGAATTGCTCCCGGTGTCTAAGAATTATTTTTTTTTAAATCATTTACAGTAATAATAAAACAAGACATCCTTTATCAGTACCGTATATCATTTTTTTTAAATAAATCATTATTACATGCGTTGTTTTTATTTTAAGTGTATTTGATTTTTTAAAATAATTGATTATTACACACCCGGAGCAAGCCCCTGTGAAACATCTTAATTTTTCACTACCGAAAATCAATTTGTTCTTGAAAATTATCTTTATCCATGAACACAAAATATATAACCTTTTTTTAAATGGTATTTTTATTTCATGTTTTAAAAGAAACATTCCGCTACAGAATTCACAGGAATATAACTTTAAGTCAAATAATTTCATGAAAAAAACTGTTTTTTGGGGGGGGGGTGTACTGGTATACAAATGTTTAGTTTTCAAAGACTGACTTTTACCAGGGAGCTATATAGGTCCCTGCTTTTACATCATGAATAATCTTAATTAATCCGTTATTTTTTTGTTTTAATGCAGCGGTAAGTATCTGTCAAAATCTCGTCGGTCTTCAATGATTGTTATTTCAAAATTGATTTTCAGAAGAACAGCCGATCAGATTAAGGACAGATGATACAAACAAACTTTTGTCAAAGAATTTGAAAATAACAACGTGGGTCATGTTTAAATGAGGAAAGTGAATAACTTTCACCGCGTAGTTTTTACTTATTTTTATTCAAATTTGCACAAAAATGGAATTTGAAGTGAAAATATTTGTATAGATTAATAAGGATGGTTTCAGAAGGGCAGACTTTTTAACACCACAAAAGGTTTACAATTTCTTTATGTTCTAGAAATTTATTATTTACATCATTTGCAATGAAATTGGCCAAAAAATATATACCAATCCAGGCATCCATTTTTTGTTTGTATCATCTGTCCTTAAACATGACATCCGAAAAGATTTATACACATTGAGAAACGGGGTAAGATTAACAGATTAACAGTGTACAGTACACCGACTGGTCAGACAATAGACCTTAATTAGGTGACTATACATACACAATGTACACTGACAGATTTTGATGATCAATTATTTTTACAAAATCTAAATTTAATGCAAGCATATAAAAAATTAAAAATCATGATTCATCGTAAAATGTCAATTATTTTGATACCCATTATGATATAAAAAGAATTGAATCTGAATATGATATTCTAAAAAAAGTTTTTGTAAACGTAATTAACCAGGTAACTCTTACGCGAGGATTGTCACTTAATTGTTGACACAGAAACCGTTAATATCCGCAGTATATTTAAAAAAAAATAGTAGAACCTGTTTTTTCGTTTTTTCTTTTTCGATGATAGATTTTTGTGTTTTAATATAATTAATTTATTTTCAATCATGATTTAATGCTTACATGTATAAATTTTCGAATAACAGAGCGAAGAACTCAATCACATTACATCAATCTAAAAGCCGAACTCAATGGTTTGGAAATATTTATGTGATATACGGTAAGCCTTTCTAAAAGATCCACAAATAAAATTTTTATATTTTGATTAATAAATCAATTCAAGACTTTTGGAAACGTTCAACAAAATACTAGTGAATACTTTTATAAGTCCAAACAAATTCTGTAAAAAAATAAAAGTTATATATATAATATTTTCCTCCGAAATCAAGAGCGTTGATAGTCTAATGGATACGGAGTCCGAGAATGTAATATAAGAGAAAAAACAAGTTGCTGTCCTTTAAAAAAAGGACTGCAATACGTGGACCATATGCATGTTTTTTTTTTTTTTCTGAAATTCAATTAAGAAAATTTCTAGGTGTAGGGAATATTCATGTAGGTTTGTTTACTTTTTCTACAATGATCTGCGTACTTATAACTGATAGTAGTCTCAAAGCAAAATTGTGAAATTTTATCTTTGATTAGCGACCTTTAGTTTTGTCAGTTTAAAAATTCACGTTATTTTGCTTCGTATAACTCATACCGACTTAGACTGTTCTGGATTTATACGGAAGAAATTTATCATGAAAAATAGAGATCTGATGGTTTACGAGAAGCACAGCTCTGTAGTACGTAGATTTTTTTGTTGGAGCCCCCCCCCCCTCCCCCAAACACACACATTAAAAGCCGTTGCTACAGACCTTTATCAAACGATATTTAGATTGCTGAAATATTAAATAATTTGCGAGCCTTGATGCACAAAATTAATGCTGGATAAAACTTGTTCTATCTTTTTAAAGCTAGAACTATTCATTGAATGACGTTTTTCATTCAGATTTTTAAGTTACATGTATTTATATACTGTATAACTTCTTAAATTATCCATTGTACAAATAGGTAAAAATTAATGCCTGGAAACCCTATGATTTTCTGTTCTAAAATCAAAGTATGGGTCATGACAAATTAAAAAATCGGGTCATCAGGGGCTACAACTCATTTATGGAAGATAGCTCTTGATGAAAACTAAAATCTAAGGAAAATCAAAGAAATTGATATCTAAGAAGTTTATTCCAAGATAATGACACAAAAATTACTTTTATATTGTAATCTTTATCTAAAATTAAAGAATAATAAATAACAAAACATAGTAAGAGTGTTATTTAAAGAAAAAAATTTAACAGGTGACAAAATGGTCATTTTGTAAATATAAAAATATAAAATATGTTCATAATATCATTTGCAACATGCTGTTACCATGGAACAATAATATTCTTATTAAAGGGAAATATTTATAAATACATTAGAAATGTCAAAACTTTTCATTTAAATTATTTCAACCCCCCCCCCTTTTTTTTTACTTATTTTCAGGTCAAAAATAATGAATATCATACTGTAAATATATCACACTTGGCTGTGTATTCTTTTTAGTGCTTTTGGCAGAAACTTCCATTAATTCAAGTGCAATGCTAAATGTTTTGCAAATATACATATTAATAAGAACATTAAGTTATCCGCTAAATCATATCTATGCTAAATTGTTCAAAAATCAATTTCCGCCAAATATCTTACACGCTAAATATAATACATTTACAGTAACTCAATGTACAAAATTGATTTATAGAAATGAAAATGGTTTGAAATTCTGCAATAATGTGAAGTTACAATTATGTCTAGAATTTAAAAATGTACACAAAAGAATAAAAAATTTTCACAGAAATGCTGAGGTTAAAATTTGATAGCGACAGTAAATTGTATCAAAGCAGAGTGATAAACATTCGATACAGACTTTGAAAGTGAATTTCAAGATTTAATGACACAATAAATAGTACTTGTGATATAAATGTAGATACTATTAGGACTCCGACAGTAATCTCATTGGGTATGTGTGATACTAGTAGATGATCCATAATACAGACCAACTTGTTTAGGTACAATTGATAAATACATGTGGCAGCAAAAAATTCATACAACTTTTGGACAAAATTTTGTAGAACTTTTGATGTTCCAGTCACTCTAGGTTTGCCATCACTGGTTTTGGGAGAAAACATGAATTAATTTATTTCACCATCCCTGTCATAGCTATAGATCAGCTTTAGATGAGAAAATGTCATGGTCTCTGCCAGACTCCTCTTCAAAAAACTTTACCAATCAGTACACACAGATACCCCTAGTTCTTTGATTTTTCAGCATTGAACACCTGTTGAAACTGAGAAATAGTATACAGATGATTGTTTCATACAATATACATGTGATTCATTGAAAGTTTGCAGCAGAGATTATTCTGTTCAACTTACATGATAACATATAGTCAACTTCATGCAGTCAAATATTTTTCTTAGTTCTTATATTGATTCCCGAGCAAATTGACAGATAAACATTTGATTTTAGAGCGACCAAATTTATATATTTATCCTGCAAATACTCCATGCATTGACCTAATAAAGGTAACCTAATAAACCGAAGCTTTATCCGGTCACTGCCCTAATAAAGCCTCGTGCATGTACAGTGGAGCCTCATTTATCCGGACGCTTTGGTTCCTAGTCAATTTGTCCGAATATGTGAAGCGTCCGAATACCTGAATCACCAGTTAAACAAAACAATATAAAATTTATAAATTCCGTCCTGATGAAAAAGCGTTCGGATACTGAAGCATCCGGATATTTGGGGTCCGGTTATCTGAAGGTTCACTGTATTCCGACGTTCCCAAAGCATTGTGACGTCAATTATACTGCAATGTTTACGCCGTGGAGTCATAGTTTTAACTGCAGAGATGTGCCTAAATCTGTTGGAATTAGCTAGTTTTGGACACTCAAATGTAAAATTTTGTTGCAGGACAAACAAAATACATGATAACTGTCTTGAAATATAAGCGATATTTGGGCTCGGGTCGAAAACAAAAGAGGGCTCGGCAAGCCTCACCCTCTATCTCGTTTCCTAACCTTTGCCCAAATATCGCTTATATTTCAAGACAGTAACCATGTATTCTACACCGGTATGTATCTACCAAATGATATAATTTAAAACTGTTCATACCTTCAAAATTCTTTCATGAATTGATAATAAATTTAATATTGACACCAAGTTGTTCAACTTCTGAGGGTCTCCCAAAAAGTACTGTAGACTATAGCTACAAAAAGAATAGATATAATTATATTACATGCAATTGTTGAGATGCATGAACATGTAAATCCTATCCTTATTATTATATGCTTTATCCAACATTTCATGGTGTTAGATAAAAAATTAGATGTGATGAATATTTAATACTAGTTATCAATGCCTAAATTAGATGACATAAATTCCATAAACAAATATAAATATACCTGTTGCAATCTGTGTATTAGTACTGATACTGAAATATATTGCATCCCTTTGGATTTTCTCAGCTTTTTCCGTTTTGGGAACATAGCCAGCTGCAAGCAATTTCCGCACTGCATGTATAAAAACCAGCTAACCCGAGTTTCACTCACATTTAATTGCTCCCTCGCTAAATAATAATGGTCCGGAGTGACATTTTGAGCACAATATGAGGCCTCTGACCAGAACAATGAACATCAAACTCGATTACCCTCCTTCCAGTCATCTAACGAACACTTACTGGTCAGAATGAGGGGTATGCCATGACAGCAAAACATGCTTGGAATCACGAATAAGGTTATTTCACAAGTATGATCTACTAAAACAACTGGACGCTCGTCAAATTATGTCTTTTCTTGAACCTTTCCTTCCCTGGCCGACTTTTCATGGGCGCCGCCATCTTGAATTTTATAGTCTCGGACACATCGTTTTATTTTTAAAAGATGCACATTTAAAAGTATTCAAACGTCAACTTTGTTATCATCAAGTTATATTTTTCTTAATTAACTATCAATTGAAACAAAAATATTTGAATTTTGGCCTTTGATATTGACTCGAAATGAAGAAGCATTTTATTCCGTAAATTACCGAGATCAAGCCGAAGTTTACCGAAAATTACAGCCTATTTGTACAAATGCTTGTGCCATAGAATCAATGTTTAGTTTGTATATAAAAGTATATGTAAAAGAGAGAAAATTGGATCAGTCAATGAATATGTAAATGCGATATGCAGAATTAAAAGCGTGATTTGCCAATTGAATGGTATATTTTAATTCGAATAGGGCGAATTATTCTATGGGCAAGTTAACTAAAGTGCGAAGCATTCTGGCGCAATCGTAGTCTGTCGTTTACCCAGGGCATCCGGTTTAGCTTCGCTTATATATTTACTGCGTGGACCGCAGGGTCCACGCAAAAAAACGGCGCCCGCCATGTAATCCTAAGGTCATGGGTTCGCGCCCAGACTGCGGCGAGTTTTCTTATTAGGGTCTTCGGTCTCCAGCGGAAGACCCTTCTATTATTCTATTGTTTCTTTTTCACTTTTATTAGGGTCCTCCGTCTTCAACGGAAGACCCTTCTATTATTCTATTGTTTCTTTTTCACTTTTCTTATTCTTCCTTTTTTTTTTTCTTTACAAAATTTGTGCAGAAGATTTCTCAGAGATGTCTCGTCCGATTTGCTTCAAATTTTCATGGTAGATGTGTTGTTATCTGAAGTTAATTCCGGAAAATTATTTTAGCGATATTCACTTCCGGTCGGAAGTTATCGCCCTTTGATCGAAATTTCGAGGACCTCCTTGTCTGTGACAGAACTCAAAAACGGCTCAAGCTAGAAAGCTGAAATTTTCAGGGATCATAGACGACATGTTGCCATATTGCACCTGGGTCAGGATATTTTCCGGAAGTGCCTAGTAATGAAGCTCGGTATGGGTCGAAATTTAGGACACGAATCATGACTGATTTTTTGAGACATTTTGCATTGTATCTTTTAAAGTATAATTATTTTGTTAAAGTATACTGAACAATATTTGTGTATAACCATATGATCTTTCATATGAAATCAAGAAAAAAGTGCTGACTCATCACATTAAGGAAAAATAGGGGCCAAAAGTCTTTATCCAATAACCTTTTAACAGTCAATATTTTGTTATATATTACTGAAGCAAAGATGTTTAACTCAACAATCTACAACTACACATTATGACTTTTATGACGTATAGTACATAATTAGGGGCCACACGGGGCTAAAATGCTAAATCTTTGATGCTTTATATCTCGAAAGTGAGAAATATTTTGATAAGTAATATTGAACAAAAGATGTTCAAAATAATGTTTTGAACAATATGCAACCTTTCATTTTTCGCTAAACGTCCCCATTAGGGAGTTGAAGGGTTGGCCCCTAAATAATTCTTTTGCAAATATCTCGAAAACGAAAATGAATCTCTGAATAGTTGTTGAACAAAAAGTGTTCAAAATCCTAAGAGCTTCAAGAGGAAATCCAGAAAAAGGGGCAGGGCACTCAAATTAGGGGCCAAAAGGGGCTAAAAGTCTTTTTTCGATAACTCTTTTACAGTCATTATTTTGTTATACATTGCTTAAGCAAAAATGTTTATCTCAACACTCTACAACTGTATATTATGATTTTAATGTCATATATTACATAATTAGAGGCCCCAAGGGGCCAGAATCCTAAATCTTTGACGCTTTATATCTCGAAAGTGAGAAATATTTTGAAAAATAATATTGAACAAAAGATGTTCAAAATCATGTTCTGAACAATATGCAACCTTTCTTTTTTCGCTAAACGTCCCCAATAGGGAGTTGAAGGGTTGGCCCCTAAATATTTCTTTTGCGGATAACTCGAAAACGAAAAAGAATCTCTGAATAATTGTTGAACAAAAAGTGTTCAAAATCCAAAGAGCTTCAAAATAAAATCAAGGAAAAGGGGCAGGGCACTCAAATTAGGGGCCAAAAGGGGCTAAAAGTCTTTTTTGATAACTCTTTAACAGTCAATATTTTGTTATACATTGCTGAAGCAAAAAGGTTTATTTCAGCAATTTACAATTGTATATTTTGATTTTAATGTCGTATGTTACATAATTAGGGGCCACAAGGGGCCAGAAGGCTAAATCTTTGAGGCTTTATATCTCGAAAGTGAGAATATTTTGAAAAATAATATTGAACAAAAGATGTTCAAAATCATGTTCTGAACAATACGCAACCTTTCATTTTTCGCTAAACGTCCCTATAAAGGAGTTGAAGGGTTGGCCCCTAAATATTTCTTATGCAAATAACTCGAAAACGAAAAAGAATCTCTGAATAGTTGTTGAACAAAAAGTGATAAAAATCCTGCGATCTTGAAGATGATATGAAGAAAAAAAGGCTGAGCCCTAATATTAGGGGCCGTGAGGGGCCAAAAGTCGATTTTTTAAGTTTTCAATATTCAATATCTTTTAACAGATTATGGAAAATCATTATTTTAGAATTAAAATTTCAACCAAATCTTATCTCATCTCATCAAAAATCGGACGGAAGACCCACTCGTTGCTCGCAACGAGATCGTATCTGGTTTCTTTTCTTTTCTTTTTTTTTTAATTTTGAATTTCATTGTTTTTCATTATTTTTACTATATCAAGATGTGTGCGAACTTTACATTTATAAAATTGATAACAAATCACTATAAAAAATAATTTTTCACCCATATTAACAGTATTATCGACTGCGTAATGTGGCTTAATTGTGGCTTAATGGTGGCTTAATGGTAGCTTAATGGTAGCTTAATGGAGTTTGGACATTTAGCACCTGTAAGTCCCCCTTAATGGTAGCTTAATGGTGTCTTAATGGTGGTCTAAAAGCTACCATTAAGGACCTGTTAGCCACCATTAAGCTACCATTAAGCTACATTTAAGCACCCATTGAGGACTTTTAGATGGCTTAATGGTAACTTAATGTTGGTGTAAATGTTACTTAAAGGTGCTTAAGGGGGGACCTATGTCGTTCTACGTCAAAACAGCGTTATGTGACGTCACAATAGCGACGTTTGTTTTTACCTGTTGACTGAGATATAGGCATAACATTGCCAATAATCAACAACGTACACAATTTACAGAAAGAAAATTTATTCATCATTAATAAAAGTTTTATTTGATTTATGGAGTTTGTTAATATTAGAATTCTCTTTCTTTGGTAGATAATTCATAGCAATTTCAGTTGTGAAGTAATACCTTGATGATATGCTGATATATAAGTGCAAAAAGATTAGATACAATTCAACAAAGAAAGCGGCTTAAATCAGGGAAATATGTTTTATGTTTACCTTTAATTGTATTGGATAAAACGAAGAAAAAATTAAGAAATGTACTTGCATGTACCTAGCTAAATTTGCTAATTGATTTATAGTACATACAGATTTTATTGTATAAAGTCATTCCTAGGTTCTAATAGTTGTTGATTGTTGACGGGGAAAGGGGGGGGCAGAATTATTGGAATGAAGAAGGAAAGAATTATTTTGATTAAATTGTGTCTAATCAAAAAAAAAAATACTCGTTTTTCGCAAAATAGTTTTATATTCAGATGTTTGTCAATGCTTACTTACCCTTTCTTTAGTGCAGAAAGGTCAATATTTATGACACAAGAGTATGAAAATAAAAGGAAACGTCGTATTTCTCGATTATTTCATCATAAATGTATACTTTTTTCTTTGTTAATATAAAGAGATTAATCATTTCTTCTAAAAAATATGAATTACAACATTTTCACACAAAGACTTTTTAAGATATTACCTGTTATGCATGTCTGAATTGTAAAAAATACGATACTTACATTGTGCTCTATTATAATTTTTCATGCGGGATGAATTACGATGAATTTGCCTTCATTTTTAATATACCTGTTGATTTTGAATGTGATTGACTTTTTTGGTTCTTTTTAGCGCATATTTGTGGAAGAACACTAATGTCTGAAAATAATTATTTTTATAGCAATTCACACTGGTTTTGCACGTGCTCCAGTGTAAAAATAAGCATATAAAGGTATTGTTTTTAATACCTAGAAATTAAGAGCAAGTGGTCAGGAAAGAAATGTCAAAGTTTTGACAATTTCACACAAAGACTTTTCGGACATAGGTCCCCCTTTAATGGTGACTTAAAGACAACCATTAAACCATCCTTAAGGATCTATAAGCCACCATTAAACCGGACTTAAAGGGTGTGTTTCAGTTGTGCTTTACACTCTGAATACATTATTTATTTTTAGGCAGATCATACGGATCTGCAACCTTTATTCAAAACTTTTACTTGAAAATTATAAAGAGAATGTACTGAATTTATTATATGGTGTTTTGTGTGATGTTCGTGTATGCCACTGTATGGTGTGCATGTTTCACGGTGAGATGCCTTCCTAAATCGCATTTGTCAAGGCATACACGCAATAAATCTTAAGAGATTTTGACCATGCAAATGGTGTCTTAAATGTTCGTGAACAAATGCTACATTTTCTTCATTAAGTCCGCAATGGCAACCATTGTACTGTAATAAAAA